TTGCATTAACAGATGCTGGCTGGAGGTAGGAATCCACTTCACTGCAGTTGTAAGTCATTTTCCCTGTTCAATAATTCAACCCGCTCCACTGGCGAAGTGTCGCTCGCTGTTGCCAGCTTAATAGATGAGCCTTTGTTAACTTGTATTAATGTCAGATGATTTTAAGGGGAGATAGATGTATGCACGCTGTGTGCTGTCGAGCAAAAAATTGGATTCATTTAGATGATGGGAGATTGTAGTTGTTGCAGCCTCAGAGTTTCAGGTCGTTGGTCATAATGAAGAGAAATACTAAGTCTTGTGTTTGAGAACTTTAGAATTATGGAGGAAAATGGATAGAGAGAGATTGAGAGGTACATTGAGGATGAGAAAAGAAATATACGCCCCATTTTTAACAGATGCTGGCTGGAGGTAGGAATCCACTTCACTGCAGTTGTAAGTCATTTTCCCTGTTCAATAATTCAACCCGCTCCACTGGCGAAGTGTCGCTCGCTGTTGCCAGCTTAATAGATGAGCCTTTGTTAACTTGTATTAATGTCAGATGATTTTAAGGGGAGATAGATGTATGCACGCTGTGTGCTGTCGAGCAAAAAATTGGATTCATTTAGATGATGGGAGATTGTAGTTGTTGCAGCCTCAGAGTTTCAGGTCGTTGGTCATAATGAAGAGAAATACTAAGTCTTGTGTTTGAGAACTTTAGAATTATGGAGGAAAATGGATAGAGAGAGATTGAGAGGTACATTGAGGATGAGAAAAGAAATATACGCCCCATTTAGACTTGATATTAAGATCCATCTCAGGTGGTCTTGTCAGAAATGGTCATCCGAGACAAATTGCTTTTTTTATCTGGAAGTAACATGTCTTAAAGCATCACTTGTGTTGACTTGTGGCCGTGTTTCTACCAAGGACAGCTCTGAAGGTCTTAAAATATGAGAAGCATACCAGGGCTGGATGTCGATTTCTTGATTTTTTTTTATTCAAATTGATTCTGATTCACAAGCTGTTGATTTAATTTGATTTCAGATTGAGATTTGATTCAGTTTGAGATTCAGTTTCTATTAAGTTTCTGTTTACTTTGGCTCATTTCAATTAAAATGTCCATTTACGTCTCTCTACTAATGCTCTTTTGAAACTTTTTGGGGAAAAAAAGGATCATGAATATTCAAATTAAGTTTTTTTTTTTTTTTTTTCAGCCCTAAAGCAAAATTATTTTAGCATTTTAGTGTCATTCTTTGTCACATTTTTTTTTAGTTGTGGTTTTCTTTATTTTTTGGCCACTGTCTTCTGGTTCTTCAAACATTTGCTTTGACTCCTTGTATTTTTTTCACCACATGACCGTGGTGATAGAAGAGCACATGTGGCCGTGGCTCCAAGCCCAGACCGCAGCTGTCTCTTCAAGACATGCTTCAGTTATGTTGTGGTTTCAGCATCTCCAATGCAAGCTTACAGGAAAGAGAATGTGTCCATTTTTTAAAACCGTTTTGTCCTTCTTTGGTTTGCATTCCGCATGACCGAAGGGAGGAAAAGTGTATGAACAAATGTAAACACTGAAAGGTCATAGTGATCTATGATGATTAATAGGAAACGCTCTTCAAACGGAAGAACAAGCAAATGCGCACACATAGTTATGCATGTTCTGAAAACATACTTTAGTCTGTATCAGCTGTGTTGATGGGATTCATACACATGCTTTGGCCAGAGTCCAGGCATGTGGGTGGACACACTGGTGCCCTATGCCTGACATTTTGACCTCAATTTCTCTTTTGTTTCTAAAAGACATACAATGAGGGGTCAATGCTTTGATGTGCAAGAAGTCTTGGGCTGAATGCAAGGTGCAGAAGAAGAACAGAAAGCAAATGGCTCATTAGGAGGCTTTTTTGCTATTTTATTTTGGAAAATTTTGCGCTGAGCTGTGGGAAAAGGTTTTGCAGCGAACGCGAGGCCAGGCAGAATGGGAGCAAACACATCACACACTTGGGAATAGATATGCTAGGAGTTGATGACTACATCTTCCTGCAAGGTGAAACAAAATGAGATCAGAATAAGATGGTGCTTTTAAAGTCAGCTCCCTTATGGCTCTTTTGGTAAATTAAACTCTAAAAATAATTGAATGACATATGGCTTCTGCATTTGCCAGTAATTGCCTTTCTTGTCAAAAGCAACTCTCATTACCTTATTTTAGTTGCTCTTATAAGCGTTTTATGATCCAAAAAACAGAGCAGCTGCATTATTTTTCACACTATTCATTGTTTTAAAGAGCTAGGGGTCTGTCATTGTTTGTGATAACAATGCCTGACCTGATCTCTACTGTTCCTTTGCTTAGAAAAAGGAGGTCAAAAGTCCAAAAAAGATGAAAAATGTTTATCAGTTGCTTTACAATGCGGTCAAAAGTTGAAAAGATGAAAAATGTTCACCGGTTGATAAAAAAAAGGGGGTCAAAGGTCTACAAAAATGAAAAATGTGTACCATTTGCTTAAAAAAGGGTCAGGTGTCTAAAAAGATGAAAAATGTCTACTAATTGCTTAAAAGGGGGTCAAACATCCAGATTGTCCACTAATTGTTCATCTTTTTAGGCTTGTGACCCTTGTTTCACCTGCTTTATCTGACCCCTGATCAGTCATGGCTTTATTTGACCACAGCAAATGGGATGACCATTCAACGTCCAATTTCTTATTGAGTATTTGGGCTGATATTGTCAAACTCTTCCTCATTATGTCCATAGTTTAAGGTATATTGAAGAAGTTTTGTCTTTTTGCCTAAAGTGAAGTACCCTATTCAAGGTAGAATTTCAAGTGTGCACCAGCTTCATGGACATCAGATCTGATCAATGGTTTTCCCAGGGCGAATGAGGTCATCTGTAAGCCCCAACAATGTGCTGACAAAGACCCCAGAGGTGAGGTCATTGTGTTAAAAGGGTCACCACAGGTCACCCCCAGTAGCAGCCGCTCAACTCGCCCTCCCCCAATACTTGAGTTTAGTGTTCTGAACAGGTCATTCTAACCGGAGAATACAAATTGCTGTGTGCACTCGTGTCCAACTGATTTGCTTTCACCATACAGCACACAATATTAATATTTCAAGCCGTTTTGCCCGTAGTTCAAGCTGTAAAAAATTCTGATGGTGTTAGGAAACTGGAGATTGATTTACTGCATGCAGAACATCCATAAAGGGAATGTGCACGCTCAAACACTCTCGCACACCTGTGCGCTTTGATAATTAAAACTGCTGTGATCTCATTTTTGCTTGATGCTGCTTTATACCTACAGTTCTGGTCGACATCTCATCTCCAGAATGAATGATTTGTAAGTTGCAACAGCTGGTGTGAGTATTGAATTCATGTTCAGAAGAGTATTACAAAGGGAATGTAAGTTAAAGATGAAGAAACATTTTTTGAGGATTTAAGGGAGAGAGAAGAAATAATGAATAATTCTGTGATTTTTGATTAAACATTGGATTAGACATACTGTAATACGGTATTATGGAAAGTAATTAAATTTTAAATGTCTTTTTTAAATACCAAACAGTTTACTTTCATATGTCTGCATTTTACATTCTTTTCAGAGGTAAAATCAATACTACAAATGCACCTTTTATCAGAAAAATTTAAAATATAAAGGCTGAAATTAAGAAAAAGTCTCCAGATTTGAAAGGAAGTGAGTGAAACTTAGCAAGGCCATCACTCAGCATTTAAAACTCGCTAATACCGTCAGTCAGGAAACCACATAAATAAATGACAAGGCAAGTTAGGAACATCAACAGCATTCACATATGTGAACCCTTGCTGAACCGTATGCTCACAGAGGGTGTTTACTTTTAATTTCTAGCTGATGTGGTATATTTAGTACATGGGAATGTTGAAGTATACTTAAGGTTTGGATCAGACTTGCTGTTTTTAGAGGCTCCCCTGAACTGTAATTAAATCTCAGGGCGTGTGCATGTATCTGTATGCATCTATGCGCATTCGCACACTCATGGCCCAAATATATGTCTTGTAGATGCATACCCATGTGCTCATGTGAGCCACCTGTGTGATCCCTACTGTGATTTGGGCTGTGCCATCAACCTAATGCTATATAGTCATTATATACGTACATCTCCCCCTGTGGCCGCGTGACACATCAAAATCCAGCACAGCATCTCTCCAATGGCCTCATTTAGCTTCTATGCCGTACTCGCTGATATTTCCCACTTGGGCCAATCAGATAAGTCATACATGGTTTAACCACACAAAAGAGCACTTGGAACCCCAAGCGGATGCGGCACTAGGAAGAAGCCTCTGTATGCTTTAGATGAACACTTTTGAGAACCAGAATGGTATATGCAAAGCTTAGAGGGATAAATAAATGACAAGGCAAGTTAGGAACATCAACAGCATTCACATATGTGAACCCTTGCTGAACCGTATGCTCACAGAGGGTGTTTACTTTTAATTTCTAGCTGATGTGGTATATTTAGTACATGGGAATGTTGAAGTATACTTAAGGTTTGGATCAGACTTGCTGTTTTTAGAGGCTCCCCTGAACTGTAATTAAATCTCAGGGCGTGTGCATGTATCTGTATGCATCTATGCGCATTCGCACACTCATGGCCCAAATATATGTCTTGTAGATGCATACCCATGTGCTCATGTGAGCCACCTGTGTGATCCCTACTGTGATTTGGGCTGTGCCATCAACCTAATGCTATATAGTCATTATATACGTACATCTCCCCCTGTGGCCGCGTGACACATCAAAATCCAGCACAGCATCTCTCCAATGGCCTCATTTAGCTTCTATGCCGTACTCGCTGATATTTCCCACTTGGGCCAATCAGATAAGTCATACATGGTTTAACCACACAAAAGAGCACTTGGAACCCCAAGCGGATGCGGCACTAGGAAGAAGCCTCTGTATGCTTTAGATGAACACTTTTGAGAACCAGAATGGTATATGCAAAGCTTAGAGGGATTAAAAATAAATAGAAATCATACTACTGGGGAAAAGGAGACCATCAAGTTGGGGTTTTATCCACTTTTATTTTGCAATATGACCAATATCCTATCATATTCAAGTGTGTATGAAAAAAGTTAAGTCACTGATTTATTTTTTTGAAAAAGCTAAATACAATAAGCATTGGATCAAGGCACATACAAGACTGGCCAAAGGGCATTCAATGCACTTTGGTCTTCAGTTGTAAAGAACAATTTAACTGTGGCAACTTAAAAGTGGCTTGAATTAGAAAACAAAAACATACAAATAAGAATTATATGAACAAAAAATAGTTGACACTTTTTATATTCCAAATAGAAAAGAACCCAAATGTGTTTCTTGCCATATTTTTTCTGCCCATAATATTCCTTTTTGGAGGGCAACGTTTACATGACGTGGTTAACTGTACTGAGGGATACGGTAAATGCTGTTTCCCTTTGCTGAACGAGCGATATTGAGTTCTATGTTGTGTTTTTGCCCATCCACTTTGATTTGACTGCAATGTAACCTTTCATTTGATCTGTGTGCTTCATTTGCAAAGGATTTAGGATTCTGTGCTCTGTTGCTGCCTCCTCCAGGGCAGAGAGGAAGTAATAGATATCTGCTTCTTAAACGTTGCAGTGATGTAAAACCTGGCAGCGTTCTGGAACAGGCAAACCGGGATTCCTAAAGAAACCCAGAGGTTTCTGTGACACCGGAGTAAGTCTGTGCCTGCCATCCTTAGAATTAACAAAACACTTGTGTCTTTATTTCCTTTGATGAAACCTATGCCCTATATTCTCACAGCCTTGTTTTTTGTTGTATTTATTTTTTCCATTGACAGCAACGTAGCGATAATTTTGACCTGTGCTTATACTACATGGTTTTCTAAAATCTGATTGTTCAACACAGCAATGAAAACCCACTTTCACAGTTGACAAGTCATCATATCTCAGTAGAGCACAAAGTTTTTTTTAATTGGTCTAAAACCATAAGTAAAGGAAGTACAGTACAAATGACTACAAATATCTAAAATATAGAATTGCAGTTTGTGGCAGCATACACCGACAGCTCAGTGATGGCCTGCAATCGGAACCTTTTTTCCTTTTAATAAATCGTCCTTAAATATAAATTATATGGCAAATGTACATAACGATGCTTTCTCAGTCTTTTCAATCCAGTGTTTTTCAAAAGACCAAGCAGTCTCCAAGTCACTCATTTGCAATAAAATGTCTTTGTAATCCGCGCACACTATCATGAATGAGAGTAGTCTGAATCTGGTATTCCACTGTCTCTGTAGCTTCTGTTGTTGATACTGTTTTCACTGTGCGGGCTCTTGTAAAGACTTAAGCCATTAGGAGGAAAAATTGTGTGTATCACAAACTCCTCCTTTGAAACGGGCATGTGATTTATGGGAATCATTTGAAAAGAGGTCTCTCTAATCTCCAAGATGGAGTTGTCCTTCTTTGTTCCAGCTTCGGCGTAATCGTCCTTCTGCCTGCGCCCTTTGTTGTATGTGCAGTTCCTGGAAAATAAGGAACCGTTCCTGTGGACGTACCAGCATACCAGGGCCAACATGATGATAGCCAGAAGGGCCACCGCCCCTCCGATGATAGCAGCTAAAGGCAGATTGGAATTTTTGTAAGGCTCTTTCTCCTGCTCTCTGTTCAAGGTTGTGGTGGGATTGTACGCTTTCAGGGAACCAGTTTCTGTCTCTATGCAAACAGGTGTCTCGTCTGACAGGTAAATGTTACTCGTCTCCATAGGAACCATGCATATCCGATAATGGGATTCGGGCTCCAGAGCTGTGAGCAGGTACTCTGTTCTCTCCCCTTGGACGATGGTCTCAGTTATAGATCCGAAAGCAGGACTGTGGCCCAGCTTTAGCCAACTGAGCCTCAGGGCCGTCATGGGCTGGGATACTCTCCAGGATATGTGCACCGTCTCTGCGCTGCTGGATTTGACGCTTATCGTGATGATCTTGCGACTGGACGGCGTCGTGCTACGATAGTTTCTTCCCAGCTCTGGACCCTTAACCACAGGTCTTTTAGTGACATATGAGGGCCACTGGGGTCGAGAGGGTGGCAAAGTGTTTGAGACTGTGCTGGTCTCATATGTGGTTGGGATCTC